ACAGGGGCTACGTCGCGGGCAGGCGACGACGCCGCGGGGAGGCGGCGACGCCACGGGCAGGGCGACGCGGCGGGCGGCGAGAGCCTGCAGGGGCGGCGCGCGGTCGTGCAGAGGCTGCGCGCGGGCCTGACGGGTGTGCAGGGGCGAATCTCGGGCCTGACGGGCCTGCAGCGGCGGCTCGGGGGCCTGACGGACCTGCAGGGGCAGCTCGAGAGCGCACGAGGGCGCACGAGGGCGCACGAGGGCGCACGAGGGCGCACGAAGGCGCACTAGCAGAGAAAGGCGCACGAGGGCGCACGAGGGCGCACGTAAGGTAGAGCGCACGAGGGCGCACGTAAAGTAGGGCGCACGAGGGCGCACGTAAGGTAGGGCGCACGAGGGCGCGTCTAGCGGAATAGTGGGCCCATTGTAGAAAGCGGTCCTAGGTAGCAACCTAGGCTCGTGATACCATGTCAGAATCTAGAATAGAACGAGAATGGATGAACTAGCAGGAATGTGGGTACAAGTTTGTGTACCCTCTAAGGCTAAACCCACTATAGCCTACACAATATAAACATACAATGTTTGACAAAATTCGCCCTTATGTGACAGCACAAACTGTTTTGCAATGCTGGAGCTCCTCATGGAGCTCTCCAAAGCACTATTTAGTAGAGAAGAAGCGGCAGTGACGTTGTCTTGCATGCCCATTAGCAGGAAAGATTCATTACGATTGTTGTGTGACTTTCCTAAATTGCCCACTCCTTTGTGCTTTGCTACTTCAATAAACAGATCATTTGAGACAGAGAGGGAGAGAGCACCACATCGCCCGCGCGTACACCACCAACTACATGAACACCCTTTTATCTTACAGGTCAACATACTGAATGCAACAGCATCAACCGCAATTTCCATTGTCAACACCCTAAGAGACACGCCATTGCAAACACTGATACTTCTGATGTAACTTCTCCAGGGCAGCCCCTCACTACTCTAGCTCGACGTTGGCTTCATCAGCATGTCACTTACTGTAGGCCCCTTCTCCTCGGAGCAAGCATGCACACGGCACTCAAGGCGACAGCTGAAGCGCATTCGACGGTACTTACCTCGGCCTTCGCCGATGACGTAAAATTTATGGGGTAACCTGTGTAGCAGCGTTGGACTCCTTTACATCAGCCTTAGTAGCGCACGGGCTAGTGCACAACCCAAAGAAATGCAAGGAATGGAGCAAGATGCGACTAGAGCAAGAGCATCTGCCTCAAGGCGTGCCATTCTGTGAGAATGGAGTGCTCCTCCTTGGCAACCATGTGGGACTCTCAGCAAGAGCAACAACTTTTCTTTGTAAATAGCTGGAGTCAATGGCAAAACTCTACCATTGATAGCTACCATGGATGCACAGGGGGTGTCACTGCTGCTCATTTGTTGCCTCTCTCGACGTTTTTCTTTCCTCCGCATGACCCCACCGATCTTCTTACATTTGGAGGAAAAGTAACGATGGAGAAAAGCCCAGCTCTGCGTACTACTGGATGCCTACGGGTTGCGCGACCTTAAGGGGTATGAGCAACATACATGAGTATCAAGGCGCAGGCCTCGCTATCAACTTGACTCGGAGACCTCGGCTTGACGGACCAGATGATAGAAGGGCCGTACGAATTCCTAGCAAGCTACATTCAAGCGCAATCGCTGCTCCACGCCATTAGCAGCATTGCAGGGACGCACTCGATGGAAGTCTCAAATGAAGCACAGTAGGAAAGGTAGGAGCACACATAGTTGGTAGGTTGGATGCACTCGTGCAAATCATCTCTCCCGTTCGAAGCATGTGACCTGCTGGAAACCGAATCCACACAAACTTTACGCCTGCAGCATGCACTCACACGTCCATGTCCAGAGCAGCGGTATGCGGAGCAAGTTGAGTCACAAGGGATTGGCACTGAATCCAAATTCAGGGCACATGCAATGACTCATCTCGCTTCTTGGGATACAGAGCAGGAGATAAGCTTCTCACCATCCCAGTCAACCCTTCCCTACGCCTCAATCCAGGGCATTTCGCGATGGTGGTGTTGTTCCTACATGGGCTCCCACTCTCAGCGTTGAAGATGTGTGGTTGCATGTGAATACCAAAAAGCCTTTAACGCACCCGCCACCCTTCCCCACCACCCTCCCCTCTCCTTAAACACTCCTAGTTGAACTTGTTCCGCCTTGTTACAACACTCCAGTAACTTGTGATCAACACATATCTCGACCAACTTCTCATTGAAGTGTTAATATATCATCACCCAGCCGAACTCTGGGAACATAGAAGTGCGTTATGCCAAAAGGCAGGGGGCCTTGAGTGATGGCATAAGCCACCTGTGGCAACAACAGAAGCAACCATAACAACGACTACAGTACGAGAAATTGTTTTGTACTAATGCATAGCATTGACCCACCACATCGGGGTGGGCATAGGCTTGGAACACGTCTTTTGCTGCTGCTGGTGGTGGTGGTGCTGCTGGTAGTGGTGCTCCTCCTTGTGCTGCTAGTGCTGCCAATGGCAGTCATGGCTGAGAGAAATTGTGGGATAATAAAAAGAGACATGGGGAAAGGAAAACAAACGAGTTTATTTACACAAAAAAATTCAAAATAAAAACAAAACGACAAAAATTGAAAGAACCTCACATAGAGAGCATCACTCTTTCTGCTGCTCAAATAAGCAATCCGCTGCACCACTTACTTCAAATACAACAAAAGAGAAGTGAGAGAAGACACACATGAACACACGCATGAACGCTTGCATGTACGCATGCACACGTACGAATGTACATGCGGCGATAACTCATGCAACGGGAGCTAGAATACAGGCTAGGCACGGGGCAAGAGTGATCGTAGCGTTCGTTCGTTCCTTAGTCGTTTCCAAGTGCTAACACTGCTTGCTGTGATCAAGGAGTATTCTCAACTTCAGAGTTACAAGGCAGGCTAGAGAGCGGAGAGATTGCACCCTATCAGCTAGTGGGGGATGTCAGAATATTATGCTCTAGCCTGCAGTGGGGTGCTCTATAGCGAGTACAGCCCTTCTAGGGTTAGCTATTTGTACCACCGTTGTTGCTAGTGCAAAGCCTCTCTTTCGTTCAATTCTCTCTTGCCTAGCTAGGGTTCTCCTAGCTATGGCCTCTCACTATACCTACTATTTCGACATGCTATCAGAGCGGTTACGCTCTTGGCCTGTGGGCCCCACTACTGCTTCCGCTGCCCTACTCTGTGCTGCGCGCCCCGTGGCGCGCGACCTTCACATTTTCATCCCGCCGCGCGCTCGGGGCGCGCGGCGGTTCCCTGCCCGCCGTGCGCGCCGAGGCGCGCGGCGGTTTCCAGCCGTGGGGGAGCCCGCGCGCACCCCGCCCGTCCGTCGCGGCGCCCTGGGGAGCACTCGCGGCCCCCACCCTGCACGTCGCGTCGCCCCCGTCGACCCTCGCGTCGCCTCCGGGGACCCGCGCGCACCCCCCCACCGTCGAATCGCCCCCCCGTCGCCCGTCGTGGCCTGCGCGCGGCCCGTACAGCCGGCGCGCGGCCCGTACGGGCTGCGCCAGGCCCGCGCGCGGCCCGTACGGGAAGCGCCAGGCCCGCGCGCGGCTCGGGCCGCCTGCGCGCGGTTCGGGCGGCTGTGCCAGGCCCGTGGGCGGCCCGTTCCTCGCTGCACCTGCCCTCCCCACTGTCCCCCGTGCTTCTACTGGCGCCCTACCCCTCCTACAGCCCGTTCTCCTGAATTAGGGTTTGGGGGTGAGGGGTATGGGGGTGAAGCCACTGAGTGCCGTTCCCTGCTCCTCCTCCTCCTCCCTAGTCTCCCTCTGCTACAGCTGCCACTGAGGGGGGTGGTGTGTGGGAGCCTAGGGTTTGGGGTTTAAGGGGGGTACCGTGGGAGTGGAGCTAGGGTTCAGCAGGGGGTGTGTGTCGAGGGGTGTGTGGGGCAGTTGGAGGAGGTTGAGCGGAGGTTGCCGTCGTGTCGTCCGCAGCACCTGTATTCCGGGGCCTTTCTCCTCCCGGTAGCTCAGAGAGCCGGTTGCACCTGTCGCCCGTGGGTCCGTTGCTACTGTCGCTGGCTGATCAGTTGCAGAGCCTGTTACTCCTGTATTCCGGGGCCTTTCTCCTCCCGGTAGCCACCAGCGTTGCACCAGAGCCGTCTGTTGCTTGAGTGTCTGCAGCTTCAGTCGTCGCCTCCACTCTTCTCTCATCTCACCAGCCCTCCTCCTCCTCGCTTGCCCTCTGTGACAGCTTTAGCTTTACCCATAATTGTGAACTTTAAACTTTTGCTTCTTGTTCATGTGCTCAGAATGTGTGGTGACATCGTGATCCACCCTGAGCTTGTACTGCTTTGCTTGCTGTGCTGATTACACCCCACTTTGGCTATGGGGGTGTGTCAGAATATTATGCTCTAGCCTGCAGTGGGGTGCTCTATAGCGAGTACAGCCCTTCTAGGGTTAGCTATTTGTACCACCGTTGTTGCTAGTGCAAAGCCTCTCTTTCGTTCAATTCTCTCTTGCCTAGCTAGGGTTCTCCTAGCTATGGCCTCTCACTATACCTACTATTTCGACAGGGGATGCCGCCTATCCCCTGAAGCCCTACATGCTGACCCCCCTCCACGCACCCCGCCGCCGCCTGATGAAGAAATGGGAGCACACGTACAACTACGTGCAGTCGGCGACGCGGATGGTGGTCGAGCGGACGATCGGCGCACTCAAGGGTCGATGGAGGCTCTTCTCCCGCCGTCACGAGAGCAAGCTCTGGCGCGTGTGTGCAGGAACGGCCTGCATCATCATCCTGCACAACATGTTGCAGGTTGTGAGTACACCAAGAATGAAAACGTACAACCCCCGCCGCATCATTTGGGCAGGCATCCCGAATGGCTGGTGGACTCGTAGCGGGATGGACCGATACCAGTGGCCGCCGCTGGACAACCCCTCTCTGGCCGATCTGCGCAAGCGTCGTCACCACTTCGGCAAGCACATCCACAGGGCCTACCTCAGGCGTCGCCGCATGCCGACGTCCGCCCGCTAAGGCTCCGGCTGATCGGCCGCCTCCTCGGACCCCGCCATGGCATCGTCGACCCCGTCCGGACGCTGTGCAGGCGGAGGAGTGCTCTCTGGAGCGGCGGCATGTGCTTGCGGGGTGGCCGCAAGCAGGCGCATGCCAGCTTGAAGCGCCGCCATGTTCATGGCGGCGACGACGATCTGTGTGGAGTCTTGAAGCTGGCGCACCACGCTCAAGTTGGTGTTGTTGATGGCCTCGCTCACCAGCCTCGCTGCTCCCATGGTTGCGGTTTCCTCCACCCGCCTACGCTTGGGTGGGGGGGTGTTTGTAGCATATGTAGGGGTGGGTGTAGGATGTGATGGTAATAAGGCGGCATTCATCTCTGTTTCTTATCGATGCGGTTAATCCTCAAACTGTGCAAGCAATTTTATAAAACCCGTAAACTCAAGTGCGTAAGGGGGAGAACGAAAACCCAAAACGTAAAGAACGACAGAGAACTTACCAGCAGGTGCAAAAGGACGGCGGGATGCCCGGGGATGACCGAGGTCGGGCGTGCCCGACGGCTCACGGTCATTCGTGCCTGGTACTGGTGCGTATGCGTCGACGTCCACCGTCGCGGCACCACCACCATCAAGTGCATGCGCCTTGGCCTTGGCGGAGTGCTTCTTCAGATTATAGACGTACTCCCACCACGGCTTCTTCTTGACGGCCTTGGCGCCGCTTTCAGATTCTCCACGCTTCGTTTTGAAGTATTTCTTCTCGAGGCGTTTCCATGCGTTCGACATCTGTCCCTCGTCACGGTTCCAATCCGGCTCCGCCTCGACGATGTGCGCACGGAGCTTCTTCCAATACTGACTCCCCTGCTTGCCTTGCATGGCCTTAAGGTCGTCCTTCGTAACCCACTTGGCGGCGGCCAGGGAAGTGAGCTCGGCGTCCGACCACTGCTTCTTGTTGCTCGAGGGCTTTGGGCGCTTCTCCTTCTTCGACGCGCGGGTGCTGCGATCGTCGCCGCTCCCCTCCTCTCCTGCGTCAGATTCGTTGTCGTCGTCGTCCGAGCCCTCCTTGTAGTTTTCGGAGTCGGCTTCACTGTCGGACTCAGAGACGATTTCTTCGAGGTCATCGTCACTCACGTCGGTGTCCGCGCCTTCTTCGTACGCGAGTCGCGAGCCTCTGCTTGTGGAGGCTCCAGCGGAGTCACGCTTAGCCTTGGCCAAACGTTTGATTGAGGGCAGCTGCTTCCCCTGCTTTTTCTGTTCCTTCATCCAAGCAACGTAGGGAGGGTCCTCCATGGGCTCGTCCTCCGTGGCTTTTTCTTTCCCCTTACGACGTGTGCTTCGTCGTGGCGGCATCGCTTGCAGACCTAGTGTGGCAGACTAGAAGTTCCTGACTGGGAGAGCGTGCTATGGTTGTGCGTTTCCCAGATCTAGATCTTTGTGCACTTCATTGTGAAGTGCTCTGTGCAGAAACCCTAGTGTGGTTGTGTTGGATGGGAATGTGCGCGGTTGGGTGTGGTGCTGGGACCGCGCAGTTCAGAATGTCACTTCTGCGGTCGTGAATTTTACCGGTCGTGGGACCGGTGCAGGTTGTGGTTCGCGAGGGGACTGATTGTGGTTAGGACGTGACGACAGCGCGTCATTGGTTGCGACTGTTGGTTTGTGGTAGGCTTTTGGCGCCAAATGTCGCGCGCCACATTTTGGGTCGCATGATGCCGATGGCCCCGAGGTGGTGTTGCGTGCTGTTCTGGGCATCCGTAATGTGCGCATGCCCTGTACAGTGCTCATGACTGGAACCAAAGATACGCCCTTACGCACTTTTTGGAGCACCCGTTTGAATGTTTTGAAACTGTGTTCAAATGGATGCCTCAAATAATGGATAAAAACACCCTTTATGAGATCCCCATATGTAAAACCAAACACCGGAACGCACGTACGTATCATGTTGAAACCATGAACTTGCTCGACCGTCCCAACCTCGTCGATAAATACGGCGGATTGTACGGCCGAGCATAATATTCTGGCATCAACATGAACGAATGAACAACAAGGTATGAGGTGGAATGGATGCTTCAAAATGAATGTTAAAATGCATCATGCAGCAACAGAGGTTGATGGGGTCGTTGAAACAGCGGAAACCCACTGCCCCAAAGACGATTAACAACCTCTAATTACACACATGACACACAATAACACCACACTTTGAAACACACATCCCACAAACACGAATGCAAACGCACGTGAAAAATGTGCAACACCACGTAACGGTTGTGAACGGATCTAAGAGCAACCCCACAGTGAAACAAGCACAACGAACAGACATGCACACACACGCAAACAAGCACAAAGAGGTACTGATACCGTAATAAACACACAACCGTCCTAAATAAATTTCAGAATAAATAATTGCTAACCTATCCCACCTTACCCTCCCTAAAACCCTCCCTCCCTCCTTCCCTCATCTCCATCCCACTCCCTCATCTCCCTTCTCAGCTCACGCACGCTCCCTGCACAAAGCAAAATCAGTGAAGTCAACACACATACGCCCAGGCAAAAACATGGAAGTCAACACACACACGCCCTGCACAAGAAAGCAAGAACAAAGAAAGCAAAACACACCTTGCTAAAAAATCAGTGCATGTTCATACACTGTGTACAAGAAAGCAAAAATAGGATACCGCAACACACGTGCTCTTACAGGTGGCTAAGCAAGAAGTACAAATCAGCCTCCCTCACATGCATTGCAGAAGGCGTCAACGCATAGCAGAAAGGCGCCAGTGCACTGCAGTGCACGAGTGCACTGCGAGGCGTCGATGAGCTAGGGCTTACGTCCTAGCGTGCTCATGCGCTCTCTCACGCGCTCTCTCATACGCTCTCTCACGCACTCCCTCACGCGCTCTCTCACTCGCACTCTCACTCGCACTCTCATGCGCTCTCTTGCGCGATCTTTGGCACGCTCTCTCGCGCGCTCTCTCACGCACATTCTCTCACGCGCACCCTCACTCGCTCTCTCGCGCTCTCTCATGCGCTCTCTCACGCGCACCCTCACTCGCTCTCTCGCGCTCTCTCATGCGCTCTCTCACACGCACTCTCACGTGCACTCTCACGCACTCTCTCATGCGCTCTATCAAGGCGCACTCTAAGGGGCACTCTCAGGCGCTCTCTCTCGCGCTCTTTTTCCCGCACGCTCACACACATTCTCTCTCTCTTACGTCCTTTCTCTCGCGCACTCTCACGCACATTCTCTCTCTCAAACGCTCTCTCACGCGCACCCTCACACGCTCCCTCGCACGCTCTCTCACGCGCTCTCTCACGCGCTCTCACACACGCTCTCTCACCCGCTCTCTCATGCGCACTCTCACGCGCTCTCTCAATGCCACGGATCTCGATATGGGTGCCGTCAATGGCGCCTATGACGTTGGGCACCCCTTTGATGGCGCGGAAGTCCAGCGCCATCTCCTCACGCACCTCTGCAGGGGGAACTGGACCCAGTCCCGTTTGAACTTGCGAGGGAACCAAAACAAGAACGCATCCACTAGGCGGTGGATAAGACCTCTTGGCAGGCCGAACATAAGGCTCATATCGTGGTATGTCATGGCGCTGGCGAAGTACTTGATTGGGATCAAACAGCAAAGCGACAGCGGGACTTCATTGATCTCGACAAATCGGGACATGGGAAAGGCCATTTGGTTTGCGATGAGGTCAAGGACCTCCCGCGTGATGCGGAAAGTGTCTTCAAACTCCTCGTCGAACATGGCGCGGATCTCCTCCACCCATTCAGCCACGCGTGACTCTCGACGGCGTTTGCGGCTTTCGCGGCGGGCAGCTTCGCGGCGCGCCCGCTCCTCATCCTCGGCCTGAGCCATTGGGTGGAGGGTCGTAATCCACTCCAACGCAGCTAGGGAGACTACTCGCTGCCAGGTCTTAAGGAAGTACACGTGCCACAGGTGCAGAGCGACACATAGTATGAGCACCTGCTGTGTGAGCATGGTTTATGGCGAGATTGTGCGTGCTTTGTTTATATGTGCAAACAAGCAGGGCAGGGAGGAGGATGCCATGGCGGCATCGCGGCTTTCACTGGGAGCGCGGCCTAGGCGATGCGCTCTGCTAGGGAGCCGTGAGCCGTGATTGTAAAGTGCGCGCTTTGTTCGCAGTATCGGAGGGGGTGAATATGTCCCAGATGCGGCTGTGTTGAGTTTCTGTAGTCTGGTGTAATGGTGTTTGCAAGTTTGTGGTGTACCAGGGACTTTGACGGGCGTGAATCAAAAGGGGACGACCGTCAAAGGAGGGACATTGTACATGGGGTCGCACACTGTGTTGATTAGCTTGGCCTCAATTTTGACAGACGGTCGCATGCGCATTCGGGGATGACCCGAAGTTCGAGCCGCGTGCGCCGCGGGGCAGAGGTTTGGGTCATGCGCACAATACGGATGCCCTGTACAGTGCTCATGACTGGAACCAAAGATACGCCCTAAATACACTCTTCAAATGATATCCCCAAAATGTGAAACCAAATATAAAGGGTTGCTACGCAACCCTCCCAACCAAGTGAGCCCAGCCGAGTGTCAAAACTTTATAGATGCCAAAGTATACTAATTCAATCCCCCCCGCACCAGCGCACTCTTGTAGCGTTCTCAGCTTGCACTACTAGAAAAAAACATACCAATACCATTGAAGTGCGACGCGACCGTAGCAGATCTCTTAGGCTCGCCGGCGCCAGAGTCGACGAATACACATCTAGTCGTCGCGGGCGTCGCCGTCGCGTCAATCGTACGTTTAGTGTGGCAGCCGGCCTGGCCACGCGTAGGGTTGCGATCACGCGCGCGAACCGACGAGCCCGCATAATGTGGAACCTTGTCACGCCTTCCTCCGCTGCCCCTCACTTCGCCTCTCCTCGCCGCTTCGCCGCGCTTTCCGTAGTGGTCTCCTTGCCTCCCCACGCAGCCTAGTAGATCCCTCTTTTGCATGATCCGCTCGCCGCAAATCACCTCCCTCGAGTCCCAACCCGCTGCCTCGCCGGACATCGCGTCGTATCTTCGCCTCAACGCCCGTCACGGCGTCGCCTCGCCGCAAATCTGCACACGGCAGCATTACCTCGCCTCCTCACGTTACCTCATCACGCCACCTTGATCACGCTCACCGCGCCACAACATGCGGGCCCTTATTCGCCTCCCAATCTCCCCTTTCCGCATCCCGTTCTCCCCTTTCCGCATCCCGTTCTCTCCCCTTTCCCCATCCCGTTCTCCCCTTTCCGCATCCCGTTCTCCCCTTTCCCCATCCCGTTCTCCCCTTTCCGCATCCCGTTCCGTTCTCCCCTCCCGTTCTCCCCTTTCCCCATCCCGTTCTCCCCTTTCCCCATCCCGTTCTCCCCTTTCCCCATCCCGTTCTCCCCTTTACGCATCCCGTTCTCCCCTTTCCGCATCCCGTTCTCCCCTTTCCCCATCCCGTTCTCCCTTTCCCCATCCCGTTCTCCCCTTTCCCATCCCGTTCTCCCCTTTCCGCATCCCGTTCTCCCCTTTCCCCATCCCGTTCTCCCCTTTCCGCATCCCGTTCTCCCCTTTCCCCATCCCGTTCTCCCCTTTACGCATTCCGTTCTCCCCTTTCCGCATCCCGTTTCTCCCCTTTCCCCATCCCGTTCTCCCCTTCCCCATCCCGTTCTCCCCTTTCCCCATCCCGTTCTCCCCTTTCCCCATCCCGTTCTCCCCTTTCCCCATCCCGTTCTCCCCTTTCCCCATCCCGTTCTCCCCTTTCCCCATCCCGTTCTCCCCTTTCCCCATCCCCGTCTCTCCCCTTTCCCCATCCCGTTCTCCCCCTTTCCGCATCCCGTTCTCCCCGTCGTGCCTCCCTTTCTCCCATTCCTGCCTCCCCTTCTCCCATTCCCACCTCCCGATCTCCCTTCCCTCGTTTCCCTCTCTTCCCTCCCTTCCCTCGTTTCCCTCTCTTCCCTCCCTTCCCTCGTTTCCCTCTCTTCCCTCCCTTCCCTCGTTCCCCTCTCTTCCCCCCCTTCCCTCGTTTCCCTCGCTTCCCTCCCTTCCCTCCCTTCCCTCGTTTTCCTCTCTTCTCTCCCTTCCGTCGTTTCCCTCTCTTCCGTCGTTTCCCTCTCTTCCCTCGTTTTCCCTCGTTTCCCTCTCTTCCCTCCCTTCCCTCGTTTCCCTCTCTTCCCTCCCTTCCCTCGTTTCCCTCTCTTCCCTCCCTTCCCTCGTTTCCCTCCCTTCCCTCCCTTCCCTCGGTTCCCTCTCTTCCCTCTCTTCCCTCCCTTCCCTCGTTTCCCTCTCTTCCCTCCCTTCCCTCGTTTCGCTAGGTTCCCTCTCTTCCCTCCCTTCCCTCGTTTCCCTCGGTTCTCTCCCTTCCCTCCCTTCCCTCGTTTCCCTCTCTTCCCTCCCTTCCCTCGTTTCCCTCTCTTCCCTCCCTTCCCTCGTTTCCCTCTCTTCCCTCCCTTCCCTCGTTTCCCTCTCTTCCCTCCCTTCCCTCGTTCCCTCTCTTCCCTCCCTCGTTTCCCTCTCTTCCCTCCCTTCCCTCGTTTCCCTCTCTTCCCTCCCTTCCCTCGTTTCCCTCTCTTCCCTCCCTTCCCTCGTTTCCCTCTCTTCCCTCCCTTCCCTCGTTTCCCTCTCTTCCCTCCCTTCCCTCGTTTCCCTCTCTTCCCTCCCTTCCCTCGTTTCCCTCGCTTCTCTCCCTTCCCTCCCTTCCCTCGTTTTTCTCCTCTCTTCTCTCCCTTCCGTCGTTTGCCTCTCTTCCCTCCCTTCCCTCGTTTCCCTCTCTTCCCTCCCTTCCCTCGTTTCCCTCTCTTCCCTCCCTTCCCTCGTTTCCCTCTCTTCCCTCCCTTCCCTCGTTTCCCTCTCTTCCCTCCCTTCCCTCGTTTCCCTCTCTTCCCTCCCTTCCCTCGTTTCCCTCGCTTCCCTCCCTCGTTTCCCTCTCTTCCCTCCCTTCCCTCGTTTCCCTCTCTTCCCTCCCTTCCCTCGTTTCCCTCTCTTCCCTCCCTTCCCTCGTTTCCCTCTCTTCCCTCCCTTCCCTCGTTTCCCTCTCTTCCCTCCCTTCCCTCGTTTCCCTCTCTTCCCTCCCTTCCCTCGTTTCCCTCTCTTCCCTCCCTTCCCTCGTTTCCCTCTCTTCCCTCCCTTCCCTCGTTCCCTCTCTGCCCTCCCTTCCCTTGTTTCCTCCTCTTCCCTCCCTTCCCTCGGTTCCCTCTCTTCCCTCCCTCCCCTCGGTTCCCTCACTAACCTCCCTTCTTTCGATTCCCTCTCTTCCTCCCCTTCCCTCGTTTCCCTCTCTTCCCTCCCTTCCCTCGTTTCCCTCTCTTCCCTCCCTTCCTGAGTTTCCCTCTCTTCTCTCCCTTCCCGCGGTTCCCTCTCTTCCCTCCCTTCCCTCGTTTCCCTCTCTTCCCTCCCTTCCCTCGTTTCCCTCTCTTCCCTCCCTTCCCTCGTTTCCCTCTCTTCCCTCCCTTCCTTGTTTCCTCCTCTTCCCTCCCTCCCCCCGGTTCCCTCTCTTCCCTCCCTTCCCTCGTTTCCCTCACTAACCTCCCTTCCCTCGATTCCCTCTCTTCCTCCCCTTCCCTCCCTTCCCTCGTTTCCCTCTCTTCCCTCCCTTCCCTCTCTTCTCTCAGCATGGCCCCCATCAGCGCCAAAAGTTTAGGGCCGCCCCTTGCCCATCTCCTCCCTTTGGTTCATAATATCCCGCCTCCTCCATCTCCCTTCCCCGCCTCCCCACCTCCCGTTCCTCTCAGGCACTTTCTGCCTTTCAGTCCCACCTCTTCATCCTCACCCCTCCACTTCTCCTCCCCATCTCCTCAAGCCCTCTAACCTTCTGGTCATCCCTGCCTTGTTGTCTCCCCTTCATGCCTCCCATCACCACTCCTTCCTCTAGAATGTTCCTTGCACTCATACCCCCTCCTCTGACCTTCCTCGCAACTTGTCTCACCTTGTCCTTCCCCCACCGTGCTGTTTCTTGTCTGTGAAGTAATCGCGACTCCACCGTTGCTTGTGCTGCAGAGGGAGTGCACAGGAAGTTCAACCAGTTCCAAGGATTAGACACCCGAACCTATCGACTGCAGTGTGAGTCGGTCTGCTATCTGCACCCACCCTACCCTCCAACGTACCCTGCGGTACCCTTCTATCTCCTCCCATACCCATACATAGGCCAGCCAAACTCACCCCTCCCCTGCCATACCTTGCCGCTCCTTGCCATACCATGCCCTACAATTCCCTCTTTAGCAGAAGTGTACCATACCATTCCATACTCCAGCCATACCCATCCATCCCACACCATACCCATCCATCGCCTGCCATACCCATCCATCCCATACCATACCCATCCATCGCCTCCCATACCCATCCATCCCATACCATACCCACCCATTGCCTGCCATACCCATCCATCCCGCTCCATTCCCTGCCATACCCTACCCTTCGTTTTGCGCTCGCAATCCATCGATGGATCAACACATTAGGTCCCCCCACTTCCCTACCTGTCCTCTCATCCACCCCTGCAGAGATGGCTTCCAATCCCTGCACACACCGCTGCTTTGTTGTGCCTACTCCCTACACCAAGTTCCCCACTCCTTTCTTATGTTCCCCACCAGAAATCAATGATGTTCTCGCAATGACGTGGGTGTCGACAACGGTTGACCCTAGGTTTCAGGATTGGTTCTGAAGATGAGCAAAAAGAGCAGCGACAGGGTGAAGGCGGATAAAAATCGAGCACGGGCATATGACTAGCAACATGGGGGGTATGGTGGAATCCAGGGTTGGGTGGTTAGGGTCCTTGTATTTAGTCAATACTGTTGTACGTGCTCCATTTGTGAAACGTTGCAAAGTGTTTATAGCTTGAAGGCCTTCAATGTATTGAACCCAGACACAGTTGGCGCAAACACACATGTGGGAGTGTTTGGAGGTATAATATACCACACACGGAACCTGTCAACTATGCTGGGAGCTGCCGCACGTGCAGCTTGCTGCAATTGCATGCCTGGCGTGGTGTGCAGTAGAGGAGAGCAATGCAGTGTGGGATGCTTGGTGGACCTGCCAGTGAGGGGAGTGCCATTGCTTGGTCAGAGGCGCTTATCACCTAGACCACCACCACCATCCGAAGCAGCCCCATTTCCACCTCCACCTGCCCCCACGCCAGCAGCAGCAGAAACGGATGCGGAGTGGACTAGCATCCCTTCCCGTGCTGCCATGTGTGCCGCACAAAAGTCGGCAGGCGAAACCGAGCCAGTCATGCCTGCCGTGTGACGGGTCGTGCACGCAAGCTTGGCCGCTAGCAGCTGGGAGGAAGACACGGGGGTGGTTGGGTTGGGAGAATGGAAAGGGGGAAAGTAGGCAGAAACAGTGAGAAAAGAAAAGGGAGGAGGGTCTAGGGAGACTCGGCGGGGTGAGTATGGTATGAGGAAGAATGTGGCGGGGCTGGGGGAGCGAGGAGATGAGAAGAGGAGGATGGTTTGCATGTTGCATGGGGGTGAGAGCGGGCCTGAAGGATTGAACTCACATTCCATTGGGCTGATTGTAAGGAGGGTCGAGAAAGGGTCCGAGGAGGACGGGCGAATGAAAAGGGGGACCTTGACATGCAAATGCAGCTCTTGTATGCTCCCATACAGTAGAACAATCACACGCTGGTCAATGCTACAATTTGCCACTAACCTCACTATGCAGTCCACCATGCATGCCATCACCCACACCCCCCTGCACATCACCATACATTCCACCACGCACACCACCACGCATGCCACCACGCAGCCTATCATGCTCACCACCACGCATGCCACCATGCACCCCTTCATGCTCACTCCCAAACTCACGGCCAGTAGAAGAACTGCCACTGGCCCCCTTCTGATTGGCTGCATTCGCATCCACACCATCGCCACTCGCGCAGTCCCCCCATGCCACCAGCTCCACTGACTGACGGCTAGATGAGCATGACAGAGGGAGGAGGGTGCGTGCACCGGCAGAGTAGCTGCTTCCTTTGCAAGTGGGAAGAACATACCAGCAGAGGGAAACGGGGTTGACCATGCAGGAGGTTCCAGTGACATTGTGTACCGAAGTTTGTAAGCATCACACACACTTTGAGATAACAAACTCACACACGGATGGCAGCCCTAAAATAATTCGCTCGCCTTGACGTCATCGCATGTTGGTCAGGGGTCCTGCAATCAATGAGTATACATGTGCATGTGTAATATTAGCAAGTGTTACGGACATCAAATAAAGACAAAATGTACCCCCATTGACTTACCAAGCAAGGATCGCGAGGCTGCAAAAGGTTGTCCCTCATTGGTACGCCTCCGCTTCGTAGGGGGCTCGGGTGTTGCCGGTGCAGTGGGGGTAGCGGTGTCAGGCCCGGGTTCCGCTGAAACAGCAGGCGTCATGCAATTCCACTCTCGCATTATGTCGTCGACCCAACTCCAGTTCATAGGCCATAAGATTCACGAGCTCTTACCACGCCGCACCCTGGTAACTCGACTCATCCTGATCTTGGTTGCACGAACCTCCTTATCCAATGAATGGTTCCAATGCAACACGGTAAGACCAACCCGCGCCCTCATGCTTCCACGAAACAATGTGCGTTTCGGAGCATACTTGCATATCAGTGAATGAAATGATTCATTCATCCAATTGCAAGACCCGTGAACATATGGTCTCATCTCCGCCTCCCCACAATTTTCCTCTAGCCACTCCTTGAATGCGATATGTGTACGAGAACCATGTTGGTACAGTACACTCTCTGCTCCCCAGTTATCAGCCACGCATCTAGGAGTCTCTGTGCCCCCACCACAGCGCGAATGGTCTCCAGCCCAATGATCAGCTGCACTCCCAATCTCCTTGGCCACATCCTTAGCAGTCATTGGGACTCCCTGTTTCCAGCGTAGCGCGCATCGTGCCATCACATGATGGAAGTGTACACTAAACCTTTGCGCCACTGTCACCTCCTCGATCAGCTCATCCGGATCTTCCATAACCTCCTCTTGCACTGCAGTGCCCGCCCCACTCCTCTTCCCGCCACGTGAGCCCCTATCCACCCAGCGTCGAGCGTGCTCCGTGGTCCCTCGATCCCCATCTACTCCAGCTGTACTTGCTCCATTTGTACCTGGTGGGAGGGGCATGACAATACATGGGATTTGGGGTTTCAAAAACGCTCTCTGAGGACTCATGTGCAAATGTGCTAATGGAGCATATGTATCACAACATGGATAGAATAGCATAAGGGACATCATTGCAATGTGAAACATCTCACCAGTCTCATCAGCACTGGATCTGTGTCTCGGTGCGGCGGCCACCATGCCACGAGTCGCATCGGCGTGGCGCGCCGCAGAGGCCTGCATGATGAAGAAAGATGCCACCGAGCAAGGCCGCACTCCATGCTCGGGATGTGGATCGTATCCCCACGGCTCTCTAACATCCGAATAATGCAAATCTATCCGACCAGGATCGACTGCAGTCTCTGTGGCCCCCTCCTCCAGAATGTCAATAGCAACAAAGTCGGAACAACTTTCACGCGTGAGAAAGCTCTCTGTCGCCGCATCATACTTGTCTCTGCTCTCCTCATTTGACTGAGTGATTGGAACGTCAACTCTCTCCACCCTCTCCCCGCCCCCTGTGCACGACCCCTCGGGACAAGTCGTGCGGGAGGCTGATGATGTGGCCGCCATGCTTTTGCCGTGTCTGCGGCGTATACGTGTAACTCGTCGCATCTCAGGGTACTTCCACGGCGAATCATCCTTAGACAAATCCACGTACGATACCACTCATACGACACACCTCCTTTATGAGTTTTATTCTGTGGGTTTTTTTGTTTATACCTTTGAGACCTGAACCTCCATGAACTTTCAACCAGGCACGCATATCATCCGGCTTGACATTCCACCAATCTTCAATGGTCTTTGCCTCAATGGCACTGATCGTGTCCTTTCGGGCGTCCACGAAAAACTTGACGAACTTTCGTGACAACGAACGACCTTTGTGCCATACGTCCATTTGATGCTGAATGTCTGTACCAAGAATACCAACCTTGAAACTTGTCCCCTCGTCAGTAATGATACCTTTCACAGGAAACCCCCACTTCTTGAAGTCTTCCAACCCCCTCTCAAAAGCCCTTCCCTCTAGTTGCGTTGACGACACACCTTCTTCGGTCTTGGGTAGTGTCACACAGTGTATAATCCTACGCGTGAAAGGATCCATAAATGTGACGCTGCACCACTCGGCCTCTCGTACCTGACCCCACCTACCATCCACGCAAATCCAATAACCACTCTCCTTACGAGCTAGCATGCACTTACGCGCCTTTTCCATACACCTCGTAGCATGAGCAATGATCTTTTCCCA